CACCACGCGCCGCCGCCGCTGCTGCCCCCCGGCCCGCACAAGGGCCCCGACGGCCAGGCCGCAGCCACGCGCCGCTCCCTGGACGACCTGTCGGCGCCGCCACACCACCGCAGCATCCCCAACGGCCTGCACGGTAAGAACGCGGGGTCGGGGAGGGCCCCGCTGACCGGGGCAGGTGGGGCCTGGGGTGGTGGTGACCGCGCCGCGAGTTCCGCTCTGCTCAGAATCCGCCACTGGGATCTGCTAGGACCCCGGGAAAGTTCGGCGCCTGCAGAGCTGTCAGCTCTGTTAACGTCCTGTGGGCGAGCGGGCTCCCTGCTGGGACTGGGAACTTCTGCGTGGAACCCAGTGCCCCTCCGCACACACGCACTCGGTGCTCCCGGCGTCTCCAGGTGGGTGCGGGGACGTCGAGGCCCGGGAAGCGCTTGCCTCCGGCGGGGTGAGCCCTGCACGCCCAGACTCGGCATAGCGAGTGGATCTTGGTTCTGCCATATGTAGCCAGGGTTGTTTGCTTTGCTTCAGTCTGTCATCTCTGCAGTGGAGATGGTCATCTCAGGTGGAGTTGTAAACTGCAGAACGCGGCACAGGAAGTGCCCTGGCGCGGGGACCTTGGGCCTCTGGAGAGGGAAGCTGGTGACCTGTATAGTCTCTGTGTGCCTGCTGCGTGCAGAGGGGCCCTAAGTTTGAGTTTGCACCCCAGCAGCCTGTACCCCGCTCCGAGGGTCTGGCAGCGGCTCATCCCCAGTCCCTCCATCCTGGCCACGGCCTGGCACCCCTCCTGCCCGGGCACGGGGGCCTCCTTGTTCTTCCACATTTTTGGTGGCTTGGCGCCCAGTCCTGCTGGTGCGCCTCAGCTGCTGCCTAAACTATTTGCCTGAAGGTGGAGATTAAACAGCCCTTTCTGGTTCTCTTTAAAGGCGTTCCCCTCACCCTTCCAGGACTGCTCCTCCTCGGGAGTGACAGCCTGGGCCAAAGAAGGACCTCTTCGTTGGTCCAGTGGCTTAGTGGTGCGGCCTGGTTGGGGTGGGGGCTGGCTGGGAGCTCTGTCCTTGGGTGAGGGCTGGGAGGCAGGTTTATCCTTTATTTACTATGACAGGGTCTGGGCTCTGAGTTCAGGGCAGGACTGGTTTAGAGGGATATTTTGTTACCGATTACCAATCTACAACTCGGGTTTCTCGTTGTAACTGTAACTCTCACTGCCTCCCTAGCAGACAGGCTTCTTAGGCCAGGGTGAGTTCCTTATGACTTTGCCCTGCTGTTTATAGAGACTCGTGGCTTCTGGCCTCATATTCCAGGGGTCTTGGGGAGGAGGACACAGTGCTCTGGGCCTCAGTTTCCCCTAGTACCTGTGGGAGGAGGGCACTGGGAAGGGAAGTGCCATGTCTGGTTTGGAGCTGTGTCAGCACTGCCCGGGTGCCGGAGAGCATCGTCTGCACTCGCTGGGCAGGTGCTGTCAGCGTTTGGCTGGGTGTCTGGCTGGGTGTTTGGGTTGCAGTGGTGAATAATGAATGCTGGATGGAGGGCTGGCCTGGCCCCTGGTTTCCACCCCACTGCTGGCAGAGTGGGGTGCTGAGGTGTTGGGTTTCTTGCAGAATCCATGCTCCCCCAAGTCCTGTGGACACTTAGAGCCGGTCACCCGCAAATTTTGTGGTGACACATCTTTGCTTTGTGGAGAAATGAAAATTCAGCATTCTCATCCCAATGTTCAGCCGCCGGTGTCTGTTAAAGTCATGCTTGGCTTTGACATGCCATTCAGCAAGTGGACAGGGCGCCTGGAAGTGGGAGAAGGCTCTTCTCTTAGAGTCTGGGCTTTTCCTGCTGAGCTAAGACAGCAACCCCCACCCTACCCCCCGGCCTGGACTGGACTTGTGCCTGCGTGCTTAGTCTGAGCTCATCCTCCTAGGATCCCTCTGGAGGCAATATTACCCCCATTTTACAGGCAAGCAAGTGGAGGCCCACAGCTTTAGAGGGTTCCCTGGGGAGATTGCTGGGGTAGGACCAGTGTGGGTGGGATCACCAGCGAGGTCAGCTTTCCACTCGGCCACAGTGTGTCATTTTTGCTGTAACTATTAATCAGTAGGTGCCTCCGTGAGTCCTGACCCGGGCTTGCCTGCGGCCTCCTGGCCTGGCAGGTGCCTTACCTGTGACTGACTCAGAGGCCAGATATCTTGGTAGCCCCCTCACCCAGAGGGGTCTGCTGGCTTGACTTGGAATCTTGGCTGCCCTCAGTATTTAATGATTGTCTGGCAGACCAGATACCCCAGGTGGAGTGGATGGTGTAACACAGAGACATTCTCTCACAGTTTGTGTTGTTGTTGTTAGGTGCTGTTGAGTCAAGCACGACTCATAGCGACCCTGAGAACAGCAGGTCTGAACCCGTCCTCTGTTGGTCAGTCCATAGCAGTCACTGTCAGTCCACCTGGTCGTGAGGCTTCCTCTCCTCCGCAGACCCTCTCACGGCCTAGGAGGCTGGGGTCAGCACGCCAGTTTTAAGGGAAGACTATCCTCTCTCTGTCAGTTCTGAAGCAAGGCCCTTGTCAATTTAAGTATCAGTGGTCTGTCTTCCAGTGACCTCTGTGTGGCTTGGCCTTCCCTGGTGTCAGGGCCTGAGTTCAAAGTGACCATCCCCTCATTCTTCCTCAGTGGTCCCTGGTACTGGGGGTCCCTCCTTTGCTTTGCTGTCCTCCTCACACCTTGTGAGCCGGAAGGTGTGTTACAGGCCACCCCTGAGGGGAACTTCCCTTGCATCAGAGCTGTGTTGAGGAAAGGTGCTGCCTTCCACTCTAAATCCCTGTGGTTTTCACACTGTAGTATTGTTGTGATTGACATTGGTGCCACCAGGCTGACCACAACTGTTGGAACCCTGCAAGCGAGAATCTTGTCCTGCCTTCCCATGCTCCAGTCTGTTTTATTCACTCTGGCTGTCCATCTCATTGAAGGTCTTCCTCCTTCCCAGACCCTCTGTTTTTTCCAACCTGATGTCTTTTTCCGAGGACTGGTCGCTCTTGACAGCGTGCTCGGAGTGTGTGAGGCCACGTTTCACCTCCGTCCCTCAAGAGGTATTCTGGTTGCCCTTCCTCCAAGGCAGTGTGCCCCTTTGGCCGTCCGTGGGTGTTTAATACTCTTCGCCACAGTCCAAAGACATCAGTTCTTCCGTTTTCCTTGTTTATTCAACTTCCACGTGCATTGAACAATTGAAAACACCACAGCGTAGGTCAAGCACACCTTAGTCTTTAAACTAATATCCTTGCAGAGGTCTTTGACGGCACATTTTCTGAGAGTGATACAACTGTACATCTTTTGGTTTCTTGACTGCTGGTACCACAGGTATTGATTGTGGATCCGAGGAAAGTGAAGTTATTGACAACGTTAATTCCCTCCATCCGCCGTGATGATGCCTATTGTCCATTGGTGAGGTTTTAAATTCTCCATATGTTCAGATGTGACCCACATTGAAGGCTGTATGTAGACTTTTCTCTTCTTGAGTAAGTGCTTCAAGATTCCTTCACTTTCTGCAAGTGAGGTTGTGTCATCAACTTAAGGCAGGTTGTTGATGAATGTTCCTCCAGACCTGATTCCACCTTCTTCTTGACCTGTCATTATTTATCTTTATATACATTTATGTTGAGGACATGATTCAATCCGTGATGCTTCCTGATTGCACTTTGTTTACTCTCCTGGCAGCTGAGACACTCACCTGGCCATCACAGGTGTAGCCACCTCTGTGGCCCTTCTGGGAAGGGGAGTGTGGCACCCTCATCTGACCAGTGCCCTGGGGGGACTGGAGGTGGCTATGCTGGGCAATGCCTGTTAGTGTTCACTGGCCTGGAGGGCCTTCATATGCACCTGTAGATGATGGGTTCTGCTGACGAGGGTGCTTGGACTCTGGTGCTGTGTGAGCCACTGAGGGCAGGAACCCCAAGACCAGCCGGTCAGATCCCTCTTATGATTTACATGCAGAAGAATTGTCAGCTGTTTCTCCCCTACCTGCCTCCCAACCCCCCTTGTCTCTAGGCTGTGTCCTCTGCCCACATCCCCTTAGTTAGCCCTAAAAACGGGGAGCCCCAGGAGCTGGCTCTCCTGGGATGAAAATTTTGAGCTCAGATAGAGACGAGTTGGTTTTCTGGCTTGTGTTCTTGGAGTTTAAGTAAAGACTGGCCAGGGTGGTCTGAGCCCTTTTAACAAGACAGGGCAGGACCCTGAATAGGTCTTTTATGCGAAGGAGGCTCAGTCCCCTGGCAGGACTAAGGGCTTTCCTAAACCCAGCTGGTGGGGGCAAAGGTCACGGAGGTGCTGGGCTGCATAAGCCTTCCATGCGCCCTGAACCTGTACAGCCCAGCTCCGGCCTCAATAAGAGGCCTCATGCACGGCTGGGTCCACAGCAGGCCGGAGACATGGGCTGGGCCAGCGTGTGCCCAGTGCTCCTCAGTTCACCACACCCTGACCCAGCACCCACAGTTTACCACAGTGTTTGTCTAATACCCCACAGTTTTCACCACAGAGAATGTCCCTGTTCTGACCTCATTTGGGTCCGTGCTTCCAAATAACCCCAGGGGTGACCCTGCACCTCATCTTACAGATGAGGACACAGAAGTTCAAGTGCACTTAGTCCAGGCCCTGTGGAGCTGCTCGCAGGCTGGGGGGCCCTGTCCAGGTGCCTCCTGGCCTGGGGCTGAGGGCAGAGGCCCTTGTGACCTGGAAGGATTTCAGGGCAGGGTACCCACTAAGGGAGGAACTGGCCCTCAGGGTCACTTCCCAGTGGACAACATGAGGAGTGGGGGAAGGGAGTGCCGGGTGGCCACCTGGCAAGGGTGTGGCACTGCCCTAAATCGGGGGCAGTCAGCTTTCTGTGCAGATGGCACCTCGGGAGCCTGCAGGGCGGGGTCCTTGTTCTCAGAGGTCACTGTGAGTCAGGACCGACTGGACAGCGGCGACATTTCCTCCTGAGGAGGCCTCCCCTCACAGAGCTTCCTGCCTGCCTTCCTCTTCCTCCTCCTCTACATTGTCTGTGGCCAAGCAGGACACACGCAGCCTGGGGGTGCCCAGCTCAGTCAGGAGGCAGCCTCCTTGGTGGCTCCGTCAAGAACACAGAAGTGCTGGGACCCGCCTTCCTGCCCCCCGCCAGGCCTCCAT